ATAAATTAATTCCTGAATGTATGAGCTCCTGTTGCAGTCAGTGGAGACCTAGTCAATATGGTTAACGTAATCTTTAAAGCTATTCATCCCACTAGAAAGTAAACACCTGGGGTTCAATTCTGCTCAGTTTATCTCTGTGAATATTTCAAAATTATTACAGATTACCTTTAACAATGGGATGCTTATCTCTCTTATCAGAGTAACACTTTGCTTTCCTTATTTTAGAAAAATACTTCAGTTTACACTAACTATTTTTTACAAATATGCAAATGATCTGGGTTGCCTATGGAAACACATGTTCCTGGGCTGGGCGTAAGGCTGTGTACAAAAAGAGTTGTTCAGAAGATATATATGTGTATGGATATATAAAGAGAATAGTTTGAGAAAATGGATGTGGGTGCTAGAAAGGAATGGGGGTACTAGCATTTATTCCCAAATTGTATGATTAATATTGTTTATAGGGATGAATGAACCTTTAAAGATTGCCATTTGAATCTGTTTGGTTTTGATGTTCAAAAGCAAAAAATCTTTAAATACCTTTTGAAATTCCAATTAAGAGTCAGTCAAAACCCATCACTAAAAGAATAGTTTTTGTTTTACAAATTAGGAATTAAAAAGTGACAAATATCTTCAATGCTTAAACACTGTTCTGCAATACCCATTATGTTCAAATAATACTTTTTCTGGGAACATGGGTATGTTTCCCAGTATTTCCTTTTTTTTTTCCTTTCTCTTAGGAATGCCTCTGGAAGCTGTCTAATTCTAAAGCTGCACTCACTTCACCAGTACTGGGGATTATGCAAATTATTTCATGAATAGTTTAAAATCACATTCTTTTTTCTAGTTTCAAATTATAATACGGGTGGCTTATTTTGCTTTTATGTTTTTTTTTCTCTGGTTTTTACTGTTTTTTCCTCTGAGTTTTATTTACTTATTTAATTTACTTATTTTATTTATTTATTTAGTTAGTTAGTTTTCTTACTAGAGTAGTAATAATTAGGGGCAGTAAACTTTTTTGTACTACAAGAGCATGAAGTCTTGAACTGAGATTATTTCCCTATTTCAGTAATTGTTGTTCATGTTAAACATGGCTTAAGGCAGCCAGTGGTCTGAAGAACAGGAATTCCATGAGCTGATGTGTCTTAACACTGGAATATTATATGAGGTTTTATTGTTAATATTTCTGTCCTTGTGACAATTTCTCTGTAGACCGTGGCACCACTTTAGCAGAATAACAAACATCAACTGCTGAATGTATTAATACTGTGGAAAGCAATTTATTATTTCATTGTTGTAAATTATGTCCCTTTACTAGCAGGTTGTTTTATTATGACAAAGATTTCAATTTTATCTGTTCTCGTGGATGTGAGGATTTATTGTTTGTGCAAGGTGCCAGCGTACTTGAGAAATGATGAGAATAGTTCACCAAGAGAATAAAATGTCTGTCTCTCAGAGGAAGGAGGGCAGAATGAATTCAGACATAAACTGGAAGAAGAAAAAGTGAAAGAAACCATGATAAGGATGTAGGTCACTAGGTCAAATCAACAGGTCAGAGAGGTCTATCAGTGAGAGAATCCTAAATAATAGTTATTGATCAAGGAGGGTCCGTGACCACTACCCTGATGATCAGTAATTTCAGACAGTGCAGTTAGGGATTTACTGAGCATTAAAATTCTTGACATAAATAGGAAAAGAATGAGCATTTCTACTTTGTATTTGAAGCTGGGCCTATATCTGAACTCAAACCTGAATTTGGATTGTGTCCTTAATTTTGGGTTACTCATTTGCACTCAGGTGTAGGCCTAGGAGTATGTTGTGGGAAAAATTTTGAGTCTGTACTATTCCTTGGCATAGAAGAAACAGCTCATTCACCACCCCTCAACATGCTTGTCCAGCCAACATTAGTTTGATAAATTGGCTACAGAGTCCTTTCTGCAAGGGTCTCGGTGTCACCTGCAGCAAACGGAGTTATCGTTTTAGGCAGCTGGAACTCAAAACTTCCCTTATAATATTAAGGATGCACAGCACTGAAGTATTAGTGTTGGGCTGAAGTTTGTTTTCTGTGCTTCGCATACAGATACAGACTTGGGATCTAACAAACAACACAGGAAACAAATTAAAAGCACCCTTGGAAGCAATCTAATACAACCTAATTCTGCCCACTTCTATGTGAGTTCTGAAGTCCTGTTCTGCTCTCTGCCTAAATGCAACCCCCAGAAAGCTACTGAAAGGTGCCTTTTTTTTTTTTCCAGGACAAAATGTTTGGGTGAATGCTGTCATGGGAAGTAGAGAATAACCTAATGAATTCCGAGACCGTCAAGTTTAGACAGTCCTAAAAAATAACCAGAATAACTGGGCAGTGTGTGTAGTTAAATATCTAAATTTAAGATAGATGAGATTTAAGTGGATCCTGCCTCCTTCTTTTGGGGTTGCATATCTAAATACAAATTTTCTTTTGTTGACAGAGTAAATTAGGATTATCGGAAGGAAAAAAGTCTGTCAGAGCAGACTGGATAGCCATGGAAAAGCTGTGTTCCTAACTTTTCACTATCTTGCAATGGAATTGAAATAACTTTTTTTGGAATCTGTGATAGACTTGGTATTCATTAGGCCTTTCACATAATTAAACTATCGTCCCAGTCATTATTCTTAAAAATGATGTTTTCTTTTCTGTGTTGACTTTAGCAAAATCAGATGCACTTTTTGAATACATTCTTCATCACAGTCGAATTCTGTAATGCCTCCAAAATGTCCTCATGGATAAAGCGGTTTGAAGGCGTAGTCAAGGTTTAGGTACATCTCTAAGGCTGAGGATGAGGAGTAAAGAACTGCAGACAGGAATGATGAAGCTCAAGGGTTTTATTTTAACAGAAATTTGCCCTCCTACCCCAAGCTGTGTATGCTTGTGTTTGCTTCTGAACTTTGTTACCATATGCCTGTTCAGTGTAAAAAAGTCAAGAATTTGCGTACCCTCCATGTTAAAGTACTGTTAATGAGCATTGCCTACGTGCTTCACATCACTCAAATGTACTGCGATGGGAATTTTGGCAGGATGCATGTGGTATTTTTACAAGGAACTTGCAGACATACCTGTCTTCACATGCAGTTTTACATGTACATATGAGAAACATGGATAGAAATATACTTCTAAGCAATTATTTGGTTAAAGCCTCAAAGGCTGTGTCTAAACTATGTGTTCAAAGGCTGTCTTCACAATGGACCAAGGAGCGCTTCCCAGCTCATTGCTCTAGGCTCCCTCTCATCTGTGACCTGACTGTTGGGGTGAGACATGGGCATGCACTGTCCCCCCTTATACATGCTCTGACTTCTGTGGGAAGGAAGCCTGAGCATCGGGGATTGCTGACGTTCTCCTGTTATGCTCTTGATTTGGACAATGATGGGACCACAGCTGCTGTTAGTACTGTGCAACATAGGCAGAGTGATGTGTAAAAGCTCTCTCACCCTACATCAATTGACTAGACCTAGGGGCATAATTACTGGAGAACTTCTAAGACTTAGCTGAGATAAAATAGTGACATCAGGTACAGAAATACACCCTAGTTTAAATCACCATTAGATAGGTGATGTGTGAGTGCCTGGAAAATTTCTGAAATAAGAATTCTTGATTGTTCTTTCTGCAAAACTGGGAGGGAATTTCACGAGAGTTCCTACAGCAGTTTGCCACCAACCTAATTTAGCTGAGGTACCCAAGTCTAATAGCCATAGCTATCTCTGTAGTCAAGGGAGAATGACTGTAATTTGATCAGCTTTTTATCTCTTCTGTGGGCTGAATTGTCCTCAGGAGATGCCAGCCTCTTTCCGTGGTCTCCAGGAGCAGGCTAGGCTCCTAATTTATATGGCTTGCTTGAGCACCTGAATTAGAAGGAGAAATTTGGGTCATCACTTCCGTAATTTTTGGTGCATTACAACTTTAATTTGAAGTTAAGCTCTGAAGTTTCAGAGAAAGAATATGACTTTGTGAGCCATCATAGTTGATAGAAGGGACTGCTTTGTTCTTCTAGTTGTACTTTGAAGGAACATTTCTGTAATTTTTTAACCTGTCATATCTGCGGTGTTATCAATAGAAAATCCATTATGGATCATTGATTTCTAAGTGTATTTAATATTTAGCTTATTTTTTACTGCCTTTTATTTCAGATGTCTTAGTAAGGGAATAATAAAAGGAAGTATGTTATCACTGAAAGATAAAATAATCCCTGCCCGTAATCAGGGATAAGCTAAACAATGCTAGAGTGTGCATGACATGTTTCAGCTTTAGAGAGTCCTCCAAATTGTAGCTAACATCTCTTAACTATGTGAGCCATCAGAGAATTGTGAATGTTAGTCTTGTTTGTTCCTTCCCCCTGGCTTTCATACAATGTGCTTGATTCCTATTGCCAGGAGAGTTTTGCTAATTTACACCTGTTGACAGTCTGATGTCTTTTGATAATTGGCCATGTGGGTGAATGACTACCAAAATTTTGTCTGAACATCAAATATCTGCATGCATAAATTGTTAAACTAAAGCATTTTTCCTCCTGTATAGCATATAATTTAATCCATTATTACTGCCACCTTTAAAGACTGCATATGCCTGAAAGCAGAAAATTAAATAACTGTTTGCCGTTAATACAAATTATTGTGTTTTGACAGCTTGCTAATCAACTGAAGTAAAAATGATGCTGTACAAATAGCGCAATTGCCTTTTAAGTAACTTTTTTTTTAATGGGCATGAGAATTCCCTTTCTTTGGGCCTTTGAACCCTTATAGGATTTGTCCGCTGTGGTATGTTAATGTTCAGAAGCATAAATAAAGCTTTATTTGAGTTGTGCTCTGATGCAGAATGGATTTTTCAGTATAGTTACTCTATGCATAATCTTGGGAAATATTTGACCATCATGTGCTGGTGATAGATGTTACTTCCACTATGGACTGTATCAATTAATGTGCAAATGAGTGATTTAGTATTGAGGAGATTTTGACATAACAATATGTACTTTATGCAATATTCAGGTATGGGCTGTTTCTGGGGAGCTGAGAGGAAGTTTTGGAGGCAGAAGGGAGTCTATTCCACTCAAGTGGGTTACGCAGGAGGGTATACCCCAAATCCTACCTACAAAGAGGTCTGTTCAGGTAAGTCTTTCTCTTTGTTTTTTAAGGGTTGTGAGTAGAATCGTGTCGGATTATGAGTGACAATGAAGGGTAAAAAAAGTGACTGCAGCGACTAAAAAGATTTGGTGTTTAGACAACCTTGGTATTGGCCTTGCATCTTAAACTGTAATGGAATCTATGGTGTGTCCATCCCATTGTTATCTCCTAATAATTAATGAGTTAATGTATGTACAAATATTCTGAGGAAAAAGAAAAAATTATTTCTTCAGGAAGTTAATTCTGTTTCAAACTATGCAAATGTGTTCCTGAGAAAAAGCATGAGTTTTGATTTTACTTTTGTCTGTATCTGAGTATGAACAAAAATCGGAAAGCACACATTCTTTCTTTTTCTTTCCATATAACCAAGAGGTTGTATAGAGGAGTCTAAATTTCTCATTTGCGCTATTATTAATAATTTGCTAAATTTTTATACAGTTCAATGCACAGCATCCTATCATTTCCATGCCAAACCCTTGCATTTATTTTTCATTGCAGTCTTACACTAATCCTTCTATAGTACTAATAATCCAATACAGTTCCTTTCTGTGATCTAAAACATAGAACCACTGGCAGCCAACTGACTAATGTTGCTGTTAAAGCAAATTCTTGCTTTCCTATACTTGCTGGTGGAGAACAGCTTGGAGGTTTTCTTTTGGTTTATTTTCTTGTTAACACTTTTTATGCCAAATGCTGAAGTTGATATACTGTTCTCCCTGACAATCTGTCACAGAGGCTTGATAGAAAGAGTGTAAAAAGTTCAGTGGCACAAACAAATAATGGACACTTTAGCAACTGTGCAGAAGTGCTGCAAGGCATCCAAAAAAGCAGAAACTTTCTGGAAATAGTAAAAAATGGGAAAAGAGATGTTTGAAGGTGGTATAGAATGGAATGGAATGGAATGGAATAGAATGGAATGGAATAGAATAGAATAGAATAGAATAGGATACTTCAGTTGGAAGGGACCTGCAACAATGATCTAGTCCAACTGCCTGACCAATTCAGGGCTGACCAAAAGTTAAAGAAAGTTATTAGGTCATTGTCCAAATGCCTCTATTTTATAGACAATACTGTACTAATTAGAAATTGCCTATAAATGCTAAAGAAAGCATATAGATTAGGGAGAATTTCCAGTGGGAAAGCTCCTAAGTGCAAAAGTTTAGTGTATAGAAATTCAAAAATATCTAGAACAAAAAAAAGGACACCTTGGCTTTAGCATTAACTGATGCATAAATACCCAGAACTCCTGCAAACATAGCAATAAGAAGCTTCATCTAGGGAAGAATCAGTGATGCCTGTCTTATTTATCCAAATGATCCATTACTTCCTAATACTTCTGCACTTTTGTATTCTGTACTTTGATCATTTGCCTGCACTATCTGTAATTTTTATAAGAATGTATAGTCCAAGACCTATCTGGTAATTACTGTCCACTCTGTTTAATGGGTATTAAATAATTAGATTATTTATATAGAATAGGGATGTGCAGCACAACTTCTCTCTTCCAATGCACTCACAGTTCCAGTACACCGAGGGTAGTTATGATGGACTGTTGAGTGTTTCTCCCAAGATGCTGAGTGCTGGCTGTTGGCCAGGGGGAGGTGTGAACACAGGACAAGATGATGTGTCCAGGGAAGTAAAAAAAAGGTACCATCTCTTGCAATTCTGTGCAGTATAGGCTGGTTTTATATTTCAGAATAGCTCCATAGTATTTTAAGCTTTGCGTTTGATTGAGATACTTTGAAAGCTTTTTGTAGCTACTTTATGTGTTGCATTTCATCAACAGTGAACAAAAATAAAAAAGATAATTGAATAATAAGAATCCTGGAATAAAGCAATGGGAAAAATCTTTGAAATCTATTTTCTGATAGTTTTTTTAGTTAGATTTGTAGTGCAAAAACACAGCTGAGGTTATTTTTCTAGTGCTTGTTTTTATACACATTTGCATTATGGATGTTTATATGCCTCCAGATGCTGGACACTAGACGATTTTTGCTCAGAGATATCCAGAAACATAAGCACATATTTCGTAGCCTTGTCTGTGTGAACATAAATGGGATGTGTATGTGCAACACACTTCTGTTCCTAGTTGTGCAGCTGAGCTGAGTTGGAGAATTTACTGATTTCTGCATGCTATTTTTTTCCTACTTAGCTTCCTCTAGCTCTATTTTATTCTGACTTTATTCTGATCTTTTTTTGGCACTTTTTTTCATCTTTGAACATACTTTTTGGAAGCCTCTTTAAAGAGAGCTCTCACAAGTTCCCCTAAGTTATTGCCATCTGGCTGCTCCTAGGTGCCATAGTTTTCATTGGGAAGAATAGTTCTTATGAAATAGTAGACTTCAGTTATGCACTGTGTGATTGCCACTTTCTTATTCTTCTGTTCTGGAAAGATCATCTCTATGGTAAACACTTAACAGTCATGTCCTCTAAATCCAGCTCTAGAAAGGACATCAGGGACACCTAAACAATATCTGCTTGGCAAGGCTTTGAGCTTTACTTTCAGCCCATCCAGTCCTGAGAATCTGTGCAGGAAGTTATTTTAGTCCAACACCTTTCTGACTACTCTGAACAAAAAAAGCAACAATTATTTGGATGAAACATTTAGCACTTCTAAAAGCACATTGTCAACTAGACCTCAGGCAAAATGGTGTGGATTTACTCTTTTCCCCACGCTAAGGTCACTCAAAACATATCAACCAATGGTGGTTTTCTTTATTTAGTTGCCTAAATGTAGGATTTTGTGCCATTTGAGATGCCTGGGAATATCCCATGTGCCATGCTACAGTCACATCTGACAGTTTTTCATGAATGCCCTAGCTGCCCTTGGACATCTCAAAAGTAACTGGATGCCTATAGATGAACAACTAATTCAAATCTAAGGTATCTGTGTGTACATTCACTATCCATACTTCTATCTGGAGCTAAGGACATGGGTGGGCCATGCACTGTTGATTTATGTACATATGTGCTGCTACACAATGTGGAGGCAGGGGAGCATGTGCCTGCTGAGGCATAAGATTTTCCAATCTCTTGTTCTTGGATGTTCTTGAATGCATGCACAGTTTTGATCATGTATCTATCATCTGATCCATGCACGTTATATATCATAGAATCATAGAATGGTTTAGGTTGGAAGGGACCTTTAGACATCATCAAACCCCCTATGGCCTGGGCAAGGACAGCTTTCACTAGATGAAGTTGCTCAAAGCCCCATCCAACCTGACCTTGAACACTTCCAATGATGGGACATCCACAACTTCTCTGGGCAACCTGTTCCAGTGTCTCACCACCCTCATTGTAAGAAATTTCTTCCTTATATCTAATCTAAATCTACACTCTTTCAGTTTAAGACTGTTACCCCTTGTCCTGTCACTACAGAGCTTGGCATAAAGTCTTTCTCCATCTTTCTAATAAGCCCCTAGATCTGCAGACCTAGTATTAAGCTGTATGTGTGTGTGGGGACATCATTTCTCTTACAGCAGCCAGGTGATGGCTGTACTGTTACAGCACTGTGTCGGTACCCCATGAAAACTTAAGTCTCTCAGGATAAAACCTCCAACCTCGTAAGTCTTGAAGAGCAGCATGATTCACCTCGCTGTTGGGGAGGTAGGGAAGTCATGATTCTGCTTGAAAGGGTCAGATTAGTGTTATCCTGTTCAGATGTGGGACAGGTCATTTGAAGATTCTCCTATCAGTTGATGTGGTATTGCCTTGCTAAATTCATGTTTAAGAGATAATTGAGTTACTTTGAAGCTTATGAATACAGTTCTGGAAATTATTTTTACATTTTGTGGTGACAACCATATAGATGAAAATCTGAAAAGGCATTCTGGAGTGCATGAAGGATTTGGAACTATTTTCAGTGCATTAGCCTAATACATAAATACACCATTTTTGGCCAGCATTAGACAACCCAGGATGTTCATTCAGTATGAACATCTTTTCATATTTTGCTTACAGATGTTCAGAACAATTCTGTTTATCTGTATATTCATAAGCTTTTTGAAATCTGCATAGCTCAAGTGGCACTGAAACCAGAAGGGAAAAACTCTGCTGTTGTTATTCATAAACTGGTTATGTACAATTACCATATAAAATATGCAGCTAATGATGATTTTCTTAAAAACAGGACAGTTTATAGGCTTATGGTTCAAGCTGTTAACATCTAAGCAGGTCATTTTATTTTGTTTTGGGTGTTTTCTTTTTTTATCTTCAGTGACTGTAAAGTAAAAAAAAAAAAAGATGAATATGCCTGTTTTTATCCAATATTAGTTAGAAGGCTTAGTGAACATAACAGTATATTTAGTTAGTTAAACCAATTTATAACCTAGTCAATTCTCAGTACCTTTCTGAAGCATATTCTCTTTTACACAAGTCACATTTCTTAATAATTAACAATGCAGTAGAACAGTATGCCACATGGACTTAGTTTCTGTGTTGAGTTACATAAAATACTTGATTGTGAAGTTGTTTCACATTTCCTATGCCGCAAACCCACGTTTTTCTGAGGGATAGTATTGCTTCTTGCATACCAATTAGTCTTTTGACTGATTCTTATATGTAGGAGTTCCAGTCCTCCTTAAAAAGTCTAGGCTTCCAAAGGTCATCTGGAATACTTCTAAATAGCTGATGGAAGAGAGTGGAGAAATGCAAAATTAATTTCTTGCTCTGTTACCTCCTATCCCTTTGGTCAGTTGGTGATTTACAAAGTTAATTCCATCTCTGCTTCTTCTTAGTTATACTTGAAAAGAGGGCAAGACAACCATTGAATTCCACAACAGGTTGATGATTAGCATGTTCTTGCTTTAAGAATGGAAGTGCATGCAGAGGGTTTGACTTGGTGATGTGGGACTTATTTCACATACTTATGCATAAACAGCATGATCATTAAAGCCAACAACAGCAAATCTGACTAGCATTTTTCACAAGTTATTAATAGCAATATAGACAAAATGTAATATGGGAAAATATTTCTTTCCTTC